ATTGAAAGACTCAATATCTCGAGAACCGTGAGGTTTTTATTGAGGTCAAGTTGTAATTTTCTCAAAGGTTATGAACTAGTTTATCACGCTATGAAATATGAAACGTGGTTTACTGGATACCCTATCTAAATACCCATGAATCTCGATACGTATTCACTTCAATAGATGGTTCCCCTTTAGGAACGTTTTGCCAGATCTGTATATAAATTAGTCTAATAAATGTTATTCACTACACCGTGTAAAACATACATTACACCACTCACTGAACACTGAACTGGACCTGACCAGTGTATAACGGCACACCACACAAAATCCGCCAATGTTTCTAGCAACCCAAGTGAGACGATATACTCTCATTCAGAAATTGATAGTCTGGGAGCCAACAAACATTTTTTGTGCGTATATCTAGGAGGACCAAGTTATGCAAAGAATCAAATCAATTTCAATGAAAGTAATCTAAAGTTTCAGCGAATACCGATAAACAGTGTGTTCCAGAAATGTACTCACAACTATTATTTTTTTATTTTCGATGAATTCGAAATCAGATAACTTATTCTTATTATTCCCAACTGATATTTTGAAATCAAGTATGTGACGTTTGCCAGTGTTCGAAACATCGAGAAAAAATTATTTGGAGGCAGGTATCCCCAAGATTTTCAACAAATGAGTTTTTTTTCCAATGACTCGCGAATTCAATTTTTATATATTATCTTCAAAGGCAGAAAGGGAATAGGAAAGAACAACCTGTCAGAACTATTTTGAAATATCTGATTGGAGTTATTATTTCATTCTACAAAAAATGCAAGGCGTTATTCAGGATGGGCATTTCTGTTTATGATGTTCCCCATCGTATATTGATGTACTACTCTACCACGCTAGATTGTGTGAGAAATTCCAATGGAGTCGTCTAATCGATATATTCCTCAGATTACTACTTATAGGATGAGTGAATACTAGTTCAAGTAACTCTGCGGACAGGTTGCGAAAACCTCTCGAACAACTTGACAATCAATCAACGCTTCTCTTGATCATCAGTTGAGGCATACGTTGCCATGGATCAAAACAAGTGAAATTCATAATCGTCTGTCAATTGCTTAATGCGATCGGCATGGTCCGAACTTTGTATTTGCAAAAATATACTCAACTCAAATGTGATGATACCTACAATCTACATATCAAATCGAATACATTTGGTTTTGGTGACTTTGCTGCTCATTTCATGTATGAAGGTCAAAGGCTCTAGAACAGGTATATCTTGCGCCTGTTGAGGTGGAACGTTCACCCTTAGTGAAATGTCTCAAGAGGTCTCTCCATGTAGTGGTCGACGGAGTTTCATATAACTCTCTTATCATAAATGCTGGTGTTCCGCAAGGATCAATTCTAGAACCAACACTATTTCTAATCCATATCAACGATTTGTTGGAAGCAACTTCATGTCCAGTACACAGCTTCGCGGATGATAGTACCGTCAATACCGCCTTCTCTTCCATGGCTCCAATACCAGCCAGGCAAATCAGAATTGAACGAGGAAGAAATGTTGACAACATTAACATGGACTTGGCAACAATACTCGAATGGGGATCCAATAACTTGGTAAATTTCAATGCAAACAAAACACAAGCATGCCTTTTCTCTAGAAAAGCCGATCTCACTGTGCTCAACATGAGCTTGACAGGAGTAACCATACCTTTAAAGACATCCATTTCGATGCTTGATATTACTATCAGCAATAACCTTTCTCGGGAAAATCACGTGAGATCAATTGCTAGAAGTGCATCCCAAAAACTTGGTTTTCTGTTTCATGCCAGAAACTATTTCACATCCAGTCAGCTGCTTATGATCTATAAGGCACAGATCCGACCTGTCCTGGAATACTGTTCGCATATTTGGAGTGCAGCACCCAAACATACTCTGAAACTGTTGGATTCTGTCCAAAAAAGGTCAATTCGTCTCGTGGATGATGCCTCGCTCACAAACTCACTCACTTCTCTGGAACACCGTGGAAAAGTTGGCGATCTGGCTTCATTTTATAGATATTCTTATGGACGAAATATCAACAATTGTTCCTCGCTTGGAAGTATCCGCGAGATTAACCCGTCGAGTTGAGGCTTCGCACCCCTTCGTGTTCATTTTGGAGACCTGCTGAACATCTCTTTTCAAAGACTCGTTCATCCAACGAACAGCGAGGCTCTGGAACACATTGCCAAAGGAAGGTTTTCGCCGAGGCATATAACCTCCAAAAATTCAAGAAAAACACCAATTCCTACCTTATTTCCTTTGGTTCTCACGATGTTCTCTGAACATTACAGGATATTCCTCTTTCGTGGGAACAAGAACATGAAAAAAATACTATGATCAATGTATTCAACCTAGAAAGTAAGGCAAACTTAGAAATATGGAGGGAAGAATAGATAATTACAACACACTGAAGTATGATGAGGAAATTAAAAAGTCGAAAATCAAAATATTTGGTTTCTAGAGCACTGTTACGTATTATCAAGTAGGTAGGTAGTTCTCACTTTTTTAAATATTTTAAATTTGACAATGAAAATTTGAGGAGAAGAATTAAAAACCATGTGTCAGGTTCACCATGCAATACGATGATATTCTGCGCAAGAGGGAGCTGTTTACGATCATTCCATTGACATTTTTTGACGTTTCGTAGACAAAAGAGTTTGCAAGCCGAATAATATTCGTTGGCTTCCTGACTATCTCGTGTTGCCGTGAACCAAGAAGATCGATATCGTCGTCTTGGTCTTGTAGGACTTTCACTCACTATACATACAGCCAAGGGAACCGTAAAGACAGCCACTTACGACTCCAAGTTACAAGGACACGTATATCGTTTGCGGTTTACGATTCGCCAGATCTAGTCGGGGTGGTCGAAAGTCTACTTGCTTTGCTGTTTGCTCTCGACAATGTACTTGTCTATTCTTTCATCTCATGGGAGGGAATGTTTTCATTTCCAAAGCAGAGTGGAAGAGTACTTACTGAATAGGAACGATTTTCTTGCTCAAGGTCAAATGCTTCAAACGTATAAAAATATAGCACCGTGATATACTATGTTGGATCTTTCTTTTATTTGATTCAGACCAGGGAAGAGTCCCTCTTATCCTAATATCTATCATGAAACAAAAAAAAATGGAAACGATATTGAAGTTTGATGCCAACAGCCCTTCTGCCATAAATAAGTTTCAGAAATACATTCTGAGAATTGAAAAAGATCGAACGGAACAAATAAATATCAAAAACTTGAGAAGAGTAAATTTGGTCATGATGTTGATATTTTCTCTAGTTTATGGACAATCTCGGTCTTTCGAACTTTGCTAGATCACCTGGGCCATAATCAACTGCATTTCGAAGAAGCTGATTCCAGCTCTTTCGAAAGTCTTGATGTTTCGTTCTCTACTGACGAACACGATTGAAGGGAGTTTCAGATACCTGGCGATCTGGTAATTCCGAACATACCAAGGAGATCCTGTCACCATTCTCGCGATTTTGTTTTGTAATGTTTGTAATCTGGTGATATGAGATTTAGCTGTGTGGCCTCAGACTACCGAGGCATACAGTGAAATTGGCCTGATAGCCATGATGTGAATATTCAATGTTTGTCTCAAACTCAATTCACTTCGTCTGTTTAGAAATGGATACAGGGCTCCAATGGCTCGTTCAGCTTCTGAAACTTGCTGTTCAATGTACTGGGCCTAGGTGAGCTTTTTGTCAATGAACACACCTAAGTATTCTACTTGTGAAGACCACTCTCTAATTCATGACCATCCAGGAGTATTCTGGTTCTGGAAGGCTTTCGCTCCCTTCCGAGTGGAACCATTGTGTTTTCGCAGGATTCAATTAACGAAGTACTCCTGAAGAGAATTCAACTCGCTTTGGAGTTTCATAGCTACTTGCTCGAAACTTGTCGAACATGCAAGAACTGCCGTATCATCAGCAAAAAGCGACATCTTGCACATCACTGGTCTCGGCAAATCGCTGGTTTATAAACTGTACAACAGCGGCGATAAAACTGCACCCTGAGGAAAACCAGCTTCAATGGGCTTGATACCAGATCGTTGATCATCAAATTCCACTTGAAAAAGTCGATTTTTTCAGAAATGAACACATCAACTGAATCAAATCGTCAGCAAAACCCAAATCGATCATTTTGTACAAGATAGCATCATGCCACACCTTGTCAAATGCTTTCGCTATGTCAAGGAGAGCAAGATGGGTCTTCTGTCTATCATTTTCAACGATATTGTGTTCTCAAAGAGTGTCAAGACTTGTGGTCAGTTCTGAAACCGAACCTGCTCATCTGGTATATCAGCTCGTTGTCGTCGATGAATTCCTGTAACCTCTGTTTCATTACGCGCTCAGTTATCTTAGATGGAGAACACAGAAGACTGATAGGACGATAGCTCTGCGGAAGAGCATTATCCTGGCCCTGCTTCCTAAGCATGACCACTTCGGCATATTTCCATCTTTGAGGGCAATATAATAGTTTCAATATGGCGTTGATGTTTCTACATAAGTAAATGATGAAATTACCAGGAATCCTTTTCAATATTCAGTTCCTAATTGCATCATTACCTGGAGCTTGCCTGTGTTTTTGTGCTTTGATATAGCCGATTTTTCCATCTGTACTGATGAATAACGAATGTCTATTGGACTAAGTTTCACCATCAGCAGTACTCTTGATTCCTCGTTCAAGATCTCTTCGTTATTGCAAGCTGTGTTGAGTCTTGGCTACATTCAGATAATCAAAGCAATCTATATTCACGAACATTAATTTGTTCAAGTTTTTGTCACGATTATACTAGATTTTCATAATAATATGGATGTTGTGGGAAATCACGTGTTGGATAGCGATGAGGAGATTCTTCAACATATACGAAGGCCTGATACAAGGAAAATAGTGAATAATTTTGGAAAATGGGATGACCATGAATTCAATGGAAGATTGAGGATGCAGAAAGAAACTGAATTACAAATATGAAAAATGATTGTGAATACAATAATTTACCTGCTGGATAATACCCAACCTAGTTAACTAGAAGTTGAGCATTATCTGACAGATGAATTGCAGTCATTGAACCAACCCTCAAATCATCTGCATCGTTAATAAGCTAGAGGTCACAATCATTGATGAACTCACGAAGGTCGTAGTAGAGAGCCTTGAAGACTCATTCACTTGCAACATATTTCAATCTCTTCACAAGTGGATTATTCGTTGAAAACATCTGAGAATTTAATTTATAGACTACTCATTACTCATAAACAGTTATTTCAAAACACATTCGCTGAATATAAATGATCAAAGCACTATTATATAACTAATTAATACACAAAGTTCAATTAAACCGCATTCAGCGAATGCAAGTCCAGATTATGGATAACAGCTTTTGTGAATTCCTGCGTAGTGGAGTCACCGCCAATATCCTTGGTCCTGACCTTCCCTTCCCCCAAAACCTTCAGCACTGCTTTCTTGAGCATTTCTCCGTATTCCGGTAGATTCACGTGTCTAAGCAACTTAACGCCGCATAGCAACATGGCCGTAGGATTAGCAATGTCCTGGCCGGTAGCCCTGGCAAACGCGTGTCTAGCTCCAGGCTCGTAGATGACACAATCCGATGAATATGACGAGCCGGCAACAACACCTGCCCCTCCAACCAAGGCTGCCCCGATGTTCTCCAAAATAGTGCCGTACAAATTGGGAGTGACCAAGACGTCGAACTGCTGAGGGGAGGAAACCATGGCCATAGTACAGTGATCGATTGATATCGCTTGGAACTTGATCTTCGGGTATAGCTCTGCCATTTTCTCGCAGGATTTCAAAAACATCCCATCAGTGAGCTTGAATATGGAGGCCTTGTGGACTGCTGTGACTTTGCTCCTCTTGTTTCCTGCAGCGTAATCGAATGCGAACTTGGCAATCTCTTCAGACTTCTTCTTGGTGACTATCTTCAAACACTCTACCATGCCTTTGACTGTTTCGTGTTCCAGAGCAGAATACTCACCTTCGGTTTGTTCTCTGATGATCACACAGTCTACACCAGCGTGCCTACTCTTGATTCCCGGTAGGGATTTCACATGGACAACCTGAGCGAAGAGATTCAACCTCTTTCTCAGCTTCATGTTGAGGTTCTGGAGTTCCCCTGTAGCACTGAGGTCTGGGGTAGCTACGATACCGTGCAGGCAGACCCTGTTTCTCGATATGGAACTGGCCACTTGTTCCAAAGTGGCGCTCTTCAGCGGGTTTATTTCTGAGAAGAAGATGGTTTCGAACTCCATGGGTACGCTGGCTGCATGGAAGACCTCTTGAACCGAATGGACCATTTCTGGACCAACTCCATCACCTGGGACGAGGGTGCATGGTATGATTCTATGGTCGGTGTAATTTCTAGTGGAATTTCTTGTTCGCAATGTTCGTAAATACCGTTTGCAAATATCTGAGAACATTTGTCAGATGTGGATCAAAACTTGACATACATAGGTTGGTTTATTCATCATAATATGTTCTGTCATACTTTGGTAGTTCAGCGAGTGTTCAGGGTGAGTTATAAATGAAGCTTGTTGAAGTTATTGTGACATTAGCGCTTATGAGTGGGGCATCACAGGCCTATCGGCCTGTAGCTCGCCAGACAGTCGTTAACTATACAATAGCCTGAGCATGGACATATGTGGTTCGTGATTGTAACTCTGGCAGCACCTCAGCACCGTAGAAGTGAATCTAAGGAAAAGTATCTAAACTTCCAGAGAGTTGAGTAACTCTATAACTGCAGAAACTGTTCTTTAATGACTCCATGTTATAGTGATGTCAGCAGTTGTCAATCATATCATCATACTAGTGATTTGTAATCAATTGCTGGAATATTTCTCTTATCCCCATACATACAGGAAGGTGATTATTCAATTATGAATCTTCTTCAAGTTATCTGGGACCTCATATCGCAATCCCATTTTTCAATTGGAACTCACATCACCTAGTGTCATACGAAATTTTGGTTTGACGTACATCCATGAAACGCTTTCGTAGATTGGAGTATCAAGGGAGTCAAGGTAACAGTTACCTGTAACTATGAAACCGACTCTTTTGGGGCGAAGGTTGTTTCTGAAATACACAATACAGACACGACTGAAATGAGCTCTGCCGTTGGGTAAAATAACGGTAAAATGAAATAAAAACATTCGGTGTTTTCTCTTTTTGTTTCGCTGTTGTTTAAATGATGATGGCTGAATAAAAAATAGAGACGTGGATGTTGATTGGGAATGGGATCAGAGAGGAACTGTTACTTCGTTTCATGTATTGAGTACGTCATTCTTAGTGAAAATATCGATAGATACTTCCAAGCTGAGTATTTGATACAATAGAGATGATTTAATTATTATTATGATGATCGAAGGATTCATTCAACGTATACGTATAATTTGGTGTCTGCCTTCAAATCGTTAGGAAAACTTTGAAAAGTAGGCCTTGAAAATTTTAATATTTCAGATTTGTTGACATTTTCGAAGAGAACTCGTTGGTACTATAAAAGGTGTTCCAAAATAACGTTCGTTAACTTTAGGAGGTAATTCTGCAGATGAAATAAGTAAAAATGTTCCTATCAACATGTGTCCGAGAATGCTACCTGAGGACGCTAGAGTCTTTTCGTTTTGTGATACGAAAATATGATTCAATATACAGGGAGGTGCGAGACTCGTAACCGATAAAACCGATAAAAGTTTTCTCGTTTCAAGACTTATCTCATTTTTACTTCCAGAATATGATTTCTCAAACACTTTCACATGAAAGAGATATTTTTGTTGGAATGCAGTGAGACGAGCCGTTTTAGAGAAATGTGTCATTTGTTATGTGAATCACAGAGTCAACGAAGATTCGAAAGCTCTTCTTACTGCTTCATTGGGCCATAAGTTGAACTCATTTTCAATCATCGTGTATATTTGAACATGACTATTGAAAAAATGCTTTGTGATTCTCTCGTGTTTTTTTTTATCGCTTGGTATGGTCTATTATTTTTGTTTGGATGCTTACGATGCCCGAAGAATTCAAAAGGTGCAGAACTTATGTCTTCGTCTTATGTATGGTTGAAAAAAAACTGGCTCTTGATATAAACAATTGAATTTCAGACGATGACGTGGGGTTCACATATTGAATGTTAGATCGCGTGATTTCTAGAACTTATGATCAACATCAGTTCTACCAACCTTCATGCGGCTGGATCCCAATTCATTGGTCACAATTCGGTCACAGTTGTCACATTGATGCCTATAATTTTGGTACGGCACCAAAATAAACTCAGCGAGATTTACTCACGCCATGTTATTATGTTTATCGAAGTAGGCGAAAATCAAGGAATTATAAGACAGGAAAGGATTGGAGTACGTACACCAGAGGTTTATTTCATCAATCTCCTGATGTAAAACCAGATTTATAGTTCGAAAACTCCGTATAAAAGGAAATGATAGATGGTTAGAAAGGATTACTTATTATGAGCTGTCAAATTGTTTTCGATGGTGTGTTAATCGCTAAATCCTAAGAATAAAATATGAAGCGATTTCTCATCAATCCCAATCAAAAGAAAACTACGAACTAATTCTATTAGGGTTCATACGAGCGCCGATAACCTCTTTCTACCAATTTCATGGTCAATAGATATCCAAACATCGCGTGCATTCTTAAGACATATCATTAAATGGTGGAGCTGAAATACCCCTTACGTGGTGGAACCAACAGAGTGTAACAAATTAATTATTATATGCTGATGTAGTTTGGGAAACCATATTAGAGAATTTGGCAGGTAATTTTCTCTTGATATAGAATATCTGAAGCCTCAGAATCAGTAATTGATATCAAAGTTGGCCAGTAACTAGTAGTTATCAGTACTTATTAAGGATGGATTACCTATTCGATGAACATATTTCAAGGTCAGAAAATACTTGCACAAACAACCTACTGAATTAATGAAAGATACAAATCATGAAATATTTGAAACGGATACTCATAGAATAAGGTTCTTACTCCTTTTTCGTAAATATTATTGTCAAATTCTCAGGAAATATCAATCGAAAGGAAACATCAACCGAAACAGCCTCATCTTATATTTTCTCGCTTCCTCCAGAAGTGGATTTAAATATTGATGTGGAATGAGATATTGATATTTATCTGTTTATAACATGAAATTTCAATCTGATTGATACTCATTCTGAATCACTTTACATATTCTAGTTTCTGTCTTGATTCCATCAGTTTTACTGATTCAGTTCAGATGAAGAAAATAATCATATCATTTTCTACACTGTTCACAAAATTGTTCGAGTTGTTAACGAATTTCAATGAATGAATTTCAATTTTGCCAGAATGACTCGAAAGATAGGTTAGGTTAGGTTCCATGTGAATGGGGCGAATACCTCCCCTCCACTGCGACCGCAGATGGGTCTATTGTGGCTCACCCCTAGAGGTTACAGTTCACCGTACAATCCACATCTTTTACAAAGTTCATGGTTGAATTGGGCGAGATTTGTCTGAAATCGATAGGTTCTAAATTGGTAAAGCTAAATGTGTCGAACCTTAGCCTTTCTAAGCTGGAGCATGAACATAATATGTGTTCAGCCGTTTCGTCTTCCACACAACAGAACCGACAGTCCGTTTGTTGGTTCAGACCCATCCTTCCCAGGTGGTATTTTAGACGACAGTGTCCCGTAAGCAGTCCAGTCAGAATTCGCAGGTTACCCCTGCTCCATTCTAGGATCTGCCTGGTTATTTTTTCCGATGGTTTAGGCAGGAACACCTTCGAATGGGTTAATCCTGGTAATTCAGACCAGTACGTGAGTGTTATTTCCTCCACCCAGCCCGAGATAGTTGTTTTCGCCGCACCCCAAAATATGGTTCTGGTCCTATGAACACAGATTCGGTTCCCTGTTTGGCGAGGATGTCGGCTTTCTCGTTACCCTCCACCCCCTAGTGGCCAGGCACCCACAGCAAAGTGACTCTGTTGTTAGCACCCAGGCATTCTAGGGATTCAATACAGCTCCATACAAGCTTGGAATTTATCTTGCTGGAGCTCAGTGCTTTAAGAGCAGCCTGACTGTCTGATACAAAACTGATATTTTTGTTTACTAGAGGTTTATTCGACAACTCAAAGATTGTAGCATATTTGCCGAGATTGACGGAAATTTCCGTCTTCGGTTTTCTGCTGAACACACCGGCTCCAACTCTAAGAGGGGTTTTCGAACCATCTGTGCACATTACGTGTTCGGTCTCTGGGAATTGAACTGATCCACTTGCCCATTCGTCTCTCTTCGGGAAGAGGACTTTGAAAGACTTTTTCACGTGTGTCTGAGTGGCCAACATGTCGAGGACCATTTCTAGAGTTTGGTGATTTTTTGTTTCACACAGTATCCCGGAGTGGTCCAGCAGTCGCCCCCCTCTAATTTGATTTTCCAATGATTGGAATCTGTAGGAAACCATCCTGGCTTCCCTCTCCAAAGATATGTTGACCATATATATTTGGTTATATAAACAAATAATCAAATAACAATCAGTCACACAATTGAATGAATAATTATATTATAACCTTCAATAGTACTGCCAAATTATCACACTTGATGATCACGTGATATACGCCGTCAGATGGCATAATGCTCAGCATCAAAACACAATTGTATAACGGAGAAAATGAATAGAATAGATGATCTTAAAATCCACTTTTTTCGTTATAACTGGAAAACTATGAACAACTTTGAAAATGAAAAATGATCGAATACCGTTGGTATGAAACTTTCCATGCTGTGCATCCTTATCTTGGCCACACTGTATACGCAATGGTTTGATAGTTTAGTTAATTACCATTAATAACCCATGCGAATAACTTTACTCATCCGGTGATATCTCGGATATTGGCCACAAGCAAATCCTCTAGCCTACTACTTCCGTATGTTACCGTTTCCATTTCGTTTCCACCCTGAAAACTGTTAGCAAAGTAAACAAGGACGAATAGTAGCAGAGAGGTATATTATCCATGGTTTACGCAAACAACAGGGAATACATAAGGTATCCCTAATGATATGGAGAGTGAAAGCGCACACTTGATTCGCACGCATGACATCGTAAGGGATGGGGGTAGATATAAGGAGATGGGCTAGAAAGAGATTTCTTGGGAGCCGTAAAATATGCATATATCTTCCTTAAGGCGGGCCTTTCGCGACAGCTTTCCGACCGAATATAGCCTATATATATATACTAGTTCAACAACTATTTCCAGGTGTCAGTGTGATGTCGAAATCGGAATAAAATAATTAAATTACAGCTTTCACAGCTATTGTAGAGTTCTTCGATTTCGTCTGTTACAGCAGGTCACCAATAGGTGGCACACAATTGAATGCAATCGTAGGTAATTGTATTATGTACGTGCAGTGTTGCCAGAGCTACTGCTCCACGGGCCTGCTGAACATGATTC